CCAGATGTTCCTTTCTCCTCTGCTTTAAGACACTTGGAGATGACAGTTCCAAATACCTGGAAGGTGGAATACTGTATGCACTGGCTGTGGCAGGCTTTGGGGTGGATGTGGCCACTGGCTCACCAGCATTGTCTCCATCCTTTTGATCAAATGCAAGACTTGCAATCCCTTTCCATGAATTATTTTGGGTGGGTTGACGTGGCAGGTGGGTGGTGGGGGAGGGCCTGATAAACAGATCAACCAGGACATTAGCAATTATTGGGGTTTGGGAACATGACTGGGGGAGTGCCTCAAAGGCCTGAGCTGCATCAGCCTGGTTCTTAGCATTCTGCTACAACAACATTGGTACTGAATTTGATGGCCAAATAAAGTTGAAATTTTAATACTATTATGTCTCAGTCTTTATCAAAGCATAGAATATTTGAACGTGGCTTGCAAAGGGATCAGAGTTGTAGGATGAGTCTTGAGGGACTCTCCTACAATGGGGTGTGGGTCAGCTTTCTCCACATAATTCATAAAGGAAAAAAAAAACAACTTGCCCAAGCCCCGTCCGGATTCCATGGTCTTGTGCAGGTGCTCTGTTAGGGGTGACTTGGCTCTGGGAGCGTGTGGCCCCTGGGCCAGCTGGCTGGCATGAGAGGATCTTGCTCTGGACCAGTGAACCAGGGCATGCTGGGGCTGCTGTGGCTCTGCCAGCTGAGCTCACATGACCCTGTGAGCCACACTGCTATTTCCAAACATGCTACTTGCTGCTGAAGGTATTTTGGTTTGAAAATATTCTATAAATGTTACAGGGGAGGGCACAGTAAGGTTAGAGGGCAACTGGGAGAGCTGTTGGTACCTGTGACTGAGGAGGAGTGTGCTGAGGCGGTGGCACAGACAGGGGTGTTGGACAACACTTGTCTCTCTGTCTCCAGCTCTAGCCTCCTCCCGTGGCTCCCCAGGAGCTGAGCCCTGGCAGAGTCCTGTGTGGTGTCCCCAAGCCTTGGGCACAGCAGCACCAGGGCTGGGGCTGAGCGGGTACCTGCTGACTGAGGGATCAGGAAGGGTGGTCCCTGAGACAACAGCCAGGTGTGTGTGTGACCTGTACCTGTGGTTAGGGCCAGGAGGAACTTTGAAGACACCTCCCTCCTGGGCTGTGACCCTGCATGATTGAACCTGGGCAGGGCCCAGCTGCCAGTGCTGCACCCCAACAGAGCAGGGAGTGCTGGGGGCCTGGGCTGGTTGGTGACAGATGCCTTGTGTTTTGGGGTGGGGAGGAAAGGAGCCCCACTAGCAAGAAGTTCCACTGGAAGGTGCTGTCTTAGGACTCAGCTCATAAAGGTCCGTTTTGTGAAGCCAGTTGAAGTGTAACCAGGGCTGAGCTCTGCAGTGATTCTCTCCTGTTCCTGGACTGAGACTTGCCATGCTCAGCTAAGAGGAGGGGGCTCTTCTAACGCAAAGCTCCTTGTGGCAGAGCGGGACTTCATCAACCATCTCGTGTATGTGGCTAATTGCTGTTCCAAGAAAGCAGGCTGGAAGTGTTCTGTCCCCAGTGCTGTGTTCTGGCTGATGTAACCCCGAGCAGACGTTTGGCCAAGAGATCGATGTGTTTGCCAGCAGATAAACAAGGGCAGGAGTTCTCAGGTGCGTGGCTCACCAGGCTGCTGGGGTTGAGGCAAGGGTCTGCTGCGGAGGGGCAGAGTGAAATCCCTGACTCCTAAATCAGCCCAGGGATTTTTTCTGACATATCTGCCTGGGCAATCCCCATTAGCACAAACCAGAGAACAAAATGCTTGTGTGTCTGACATGCCCAAACTTTAATGGGTAAAAGCAGTAGTTGCTTGAATGCTTGATGGACCTAAGTGATTTGTCTGTGGCAGATGGTTTGTTTTGGGCCTGTGACAGTGTAGCTGGAGAGTACTGGAGGCAGGAATTGTCTGACGGTGGTGCTGTTCTTCCACTGTTCCTCTGAGGCTGCTCAAAGCAGCCTGTCCTCACCAGCAGCTGTTTCCCAGTCTGAAGTAGGACATGGAACACCAGGGACCAGCAGTGCAGGCTTCTGGTTCTGCAGCTGCCTCGGGAGCATCAGCAGTACCTCTGTCCTCACTAGAGCACAGAGGACACCTGATTCACTGGTCACATTCTCCATGCTGGGCTGTGTGCTGTTGCAGTCATGCTGGGCAATGCTCCTCTTGCTTCTTTCAAGTCGTCCTATGCAGGTACAGAAGGGCGAACAGCTCTGGATGCTTTTGGCACCATAGCCCTGGCCTGTCCGCACTGCACTGGCCGGTCAGGACACGAGCAGCCAGTTCCCTGTGTTGGCAATCGTGCCTGTGCCCCTTCTCCCAGGAGGGCTTGTTGCTGGGAAGTTTCTTCCAGGGTTCCCTGAAGGGCTATCCATGCAAGAGTAGATTTGACCCCTTGGATGGGCACATCAACAGGTGGGTGTAAGATGAGACACCAACTTCTGCCCAGAAGTGGGAGGCTGTGGGCCTGGGCGGCTCAATTACGAAGCATCATGGCAAATAGCATGAGCTGCATGTCCCCAAAATAGCCCAGGGGAGCCTTTATAACACGGTGCTCCAGAGAACCATCAGTCCTGGGCCAAGGGCCTGTGGGTGAGCTGCAAGTGCCAGGTGCCACCTCCTGCATGCGGCTTGGGAGTGTAGGAGGGCACGGCGGCTGCCACTTCCCTGCGGTGAGGGGACACGGACACAGCAGGCGCACAGCAGTGGGGGGAACAGCACAGCTCCAAAGGAAGGAGAGCCCTGAGAGGCAGAAAAGGAGAGAGCAGGGCAGCAAGGGGCTGGGCCGAGCGCTAAGCAACCCCGATGCCACTGTGCCTGAAGGCTGCTGTCAGCATGAGGGACTGCTGCCCCGTGTCGGTGCCCCCGTACGGGCGGTACACCCCGCGCCTGAGGGCCTCGCGCACCGTGCGCTTCCCCAACGACGTCGTTTTTCAGGACCACATCAAGCAGGGGGACCTGGAACAGGTGGGCAGGTTCATACGAGCCAGGAAGGTGACGCTGGACACCATCTACCCCTCCGGTGAGTGCTGCTGGGGTTGGCAGAGCTGGGGCAGAGTGGCGGCACAGCTTGGTGGGGCCCCGAGGGGAAATGGGTGCCAGGCCGTGGGCCACCTTCAGCAGAGCTGCAGTGAGTTGGGTCCCTCCCTAGTGAGGAGCAGTGCCCTCAGCATGGCCCAAGAGCCAGGACCCCAACATCTCCCCTCAACAGCACAGTCAGCGCACACTGTGGGAAGGGGGGAGCTTGGCCCCAAGGTCCCTCCAAAGCATCTGCAGTGTGATGAGACTTCGAAGAGCAGCAGCGAGCAGAGTCTGGTCTGTGAGCTCTGGGCAGGACTTTGGCTCCTGCCTTCACCCCAGCTTGAGGATGAGCAGGGAAAGACTCTGCATTTGTTCCTGGCTCTGCCCATTTCTCACAGAAACTGCTCCCTCTTGCATGTCTGGCTTCAGGGACTCATGGGGAGGGCTTTGAGTTCTGTTTGCACCCAACCTCAACAGCAACTGTTTATGGAATGCCTTGATCCATATGGGCTGGTGCAGAGCCCAGATTTGTCCTTTTCGTGTGCTTGGCTTCAGCTTCTGCTGTCACATGGCCACAGAGAAGCCTGGGCTCAAATGACCCCAGGCTTCCTCCCGTCCACACTGATTCTTAATTAGTGAAGACCTTCTCAAACGCCAGCAAAGCAGGACCACAGAGACTCTTCTTGCGCCTGTGTGTGAGTCTCAGCCAGGACTCAGGGCAGTTGCTCTGAGTACAGGGCAACTCCTTCTCCCTCCCTCTGTCCTGCCTGGCCAGGGCAGTGGGTGCTGCACCATCCCAGACAGGGTGTTTATATTGCAGAAGGGGAACAGGAATCTGCAGCAGCTCCTCTGGCTTCCTCAGTCTTTTGTTTCTTTCCCTAGAGTCTTTTCTCTGAGCAGGAGGGTTCCTGGCACCCCTTTCCTGGGCTGTGCACAACGTGCACTTGTGAGCTCAGCATGGACAACCCTTCCCCAGGCCAGGGCTAACACCTCCTGTCCCTCCAGGCATGGCAGCTCTCCACGAGGCCGTGCTGACAGGAAACCTGGACTGTGTCAAGCTCCTGGTGAAGTACGGCGCCGACATCCACCAGAGAGATGAGAACGGCTGGACACCCCTGCACATGGCCTGCAGCGACGGCTACGCTGACATAGCCAGGTGAGGGGCTGCGAGGGTCCCCGGTGCTGCAGAGCTCCAGAACCGACAGCGCCGGGATGGAGCAGGGTCTGGGCGGCTCCTCGGGGGTGTGCCTGGTCCCTGCACTGTCCCCAGGACTGCTCGGGCCATGCTGTTCCCGGGGCTGCGGGCCCGGGGATGCCCGGCCCGGCGGTCAGCTCCGTGTCCTGCAGGTACCTCCTGTCCCTCGGGGCCAGCCTGGAGGCCACCACCGATGACGGGGAGAAGCCCTCGGACCTCATCGATCCCGAGTACGAGGACCTGGTGCAGCTTTTCGGAGCCACCGCGCTGCGCTGAAGCGGGCGCGGTGAGGAGCGGCCTGGAGGGCCGGGGCGGCGGGGCTGCGCCCGCCCGAGGGCCGGGGCTGGGCCCGGGCTGGGCCTGGGCGGCGGCCGGGCAGCGGCGCTCGGTACCGCGAATCGGGAACCACTTTGTATTTTTCCAATAAAGCATCTCGGTCACCGCATCCGCAGGGCCTTGCGCCGGGCATGGGCCGGGGCGGGGTGGGGCCTGCACCGGGGCTCGTTCGGAGCGGTACCGGTACCAGGACTGGGCGGGGCGGGGCCGATACCGGGGTTGGGCGGGGCCTGTACCGGGGCTCGTTCGGAGCAGTACCGGTACCAGGACTGGGCGGGGCAGGGCCGATACCGGGGCTGGGCGGGGCCTGTACCGGGGCTCGGTCGGAGCGGTACCGGCACTGGGCGGGGCCGGTACCGGGGCCCAGGCGGGGCGGGGCCCGGACGCGGGGGGCGGGGCCGCGCCTGCGCGCTGCGGCGCTTCCGTGCGGTGTCGCAGGCGGGCCCGGTGCGGGCCGCGCGTTGCCCGGCGACAGGCGGGGCCCCGCGGCCTATCCCGGCCTGGCGCCTCGCCTTCCTCCCGCAGCCCCGCCGAGCGCCGCCGCACCCGCCGAGTGCCGCCCGGCCCCGCCGAGCGCCGCCGAGCGCCGCCATGGCCAGGTGAGCCCCGCCCGGCCCCGGGCCCAGCGCGGCCCCGGGCCCGGCTCAGCCCCTTCGCGCTCCGCCCGCAGCTCCCCTGTGTCCCGAGTGGTGTACAACGGGAAGCGGAGCGGCGGCCCGCGCTCCCCCGGCGCCGGCAGCGAGATCTTCACGCCGGCCCACGAGGAGAACGTGCGCTTCATCTACGAGGGTGAGCGGGGCGGGGGCCGCGGGGCGGAGGGGGCGCGGGGGGCGCGGCGCGGCCGAGGCGAGACGCCACTGTCCCTGTCTCCTCAGCCTGGCAGTGCGTGGAGCGCGACCTGCGCAGCCAGATGGGCTCCGAGCGCGGCCTGGTCGAGGAGTACGTGGAGAAGATGCCGAACCCCAGCCTGAAAGGTGCGGGGGCTGGGGTCACCGCCCCGGCTGTGACGGCCCGGGGGCTGCGCGGGCTGGGCGGGGGCTACACTACCTCCGCCGCCAAAGTCTCTTCCTGTCTCCCTTGCAGCGTTTAAACCCGTCGACCTGGGTGATCTGAAGAGGAGGAACACACAGGATGCAAAGAAGTCCTAAGGCGTGTTCTCCCTGTAGATCGGCTACTCTCCTAAGGTCCTCAAGCAGATTTAAGTTGAAATTTTGTGTTGATTTCCTCCTCTGGTCTGTGCTCCCAAAAGCCCATGTGAGAGCCAGTCAGCTTTGGGGCTGGCTTTGAAGCTGCCTGAGGTCAACGATGCTCAGTGGCTTACCAAGGCTGCCCAGAGCCTGTTGCAAAGGATTCCAGCCCCCTACTCATAGCTTTCTCTGGCCTCAAACTGTCCTTCCTCCCTTCATACCGAGCTTCCCGGTCTCCTGTTCCCCTCCTGCTGCTGCCCTGAGCGCTGGGCAGGGCTGGGCCGAGCGGATGGGCAGCACCAGGTCTGTGCACCGAGGCCCTGCAGCTGCTGGGGCGGGATGTGGGCAGAAGAGACAGTTGGGTCTGTCTCTGTGCCTCATCCAGCCTGCCTGTGCAGCTGAGGGATGGGCAGGCTGCAGCCAGGTTGCTCCTAGCTCCATTGTGGCAGCAAGTTGCTGCCTGGGCTGCCAGAGCACACGAGCCACATCCGAGGTTGGATTTTCCATGTGCTTAGAGCAGGCCAAGATCCCTGTGGTGCTTGAGGGGTATTGTTCCCCTCCCTGCAGATGGAAAGGGGTGGGGTTCCCCACCCCAGGTGCCTGAGAGGTGCTCAGAGGGGCCCGAGCTCCCCCTGCGTGGAGCGAGGCTCGGGGCCCTGGCCCAGCAGCGCCGGGGTTTTGTACCAGCGTTCTCCAGACACACCTTGGAGAGACCTGGCTCCACAGCCCCCCTGGGGCCCGCGGGTGGTGGGACCGTGCGGGGGGCCCTTCCTTGAGCCCCTCGCTCCTGGCAGGGCTCGTGTCGTTCCTGCACCATCACCTGAGGCGGGGAGAGCGACTGTGCCACCCTTGCCTGCCTGAGCCGCGGGGCCACTCCCTGGGGAGGTGGCAGCCCCCTGCTTGCCCATGCTCCAGACCAGTGGGGATGGGGCTGCCGGGCCTGCCCGGTGCCAACAGCTGCAGGAGGGCTGCAGGGACTGGGGGCTGCCAGTACCTTTCCTTTGTTGAGTCTTTGAGCTGTGCTGTTCCCTTTCCTTTCTCTCTGTGGTCTGTCACTTGAGGAGTGTTGTAAATAAACGCTGGTGTCCTTTTGGGGCTGCCTCGGTGTGGTGCTGTGGCCTGGCCCTGCTCCCTGTGCTGGGGATGGGGTGCAGAGAGCAGGAGCTACCTCTGTTCTGTGTTTATTTTCCGCAAAGGAGCCCTGGCCTCGCACTTGCTGGGGCTGTTGATTTCCCCATGGGCAGGTGCAGCGGGCACTGCGTGCTGGCAGCACAATGCCCTTGGGCTCAGGCAACACTCCAGGCACCCAGCATCCCAGGAGCTGTTGCTGCACCCAGGATTTAAATGTTGAGACTATTAATACCCTTGTATCCTCTTCCCTCTCCTGCTTTAATGGCATTTAAGCTATACTTAGCTTAATTGCTAGAATTTCTGCTCACGTGCATCTCGACACTTGCCATGACCCTGTTTACCTCCCATCACCAAAACATTCCCGGGACGCGCTGCCCGATTCCAGCGCGGCAGGATGAGAACTCAGCCCCTGCTGCCACTGAAGCTGCCTCAGGCACTGCCTCCCTGCAGCCACGGACAGCGAGGTCGGGAGGTGACGGTTGTCACTCTCGTGACCCCTCTCCACCTGTTCTGGTGAGGTACCCTGTGTTTGGGGAGCCTGACAGGACAGCAGAGCCCTGCGTGTGTCCAGAGCCATGTCCATGTGTCCCGAGGGGATGGGAAGGGGGACCCATCCCAACTGAGTGTGGTGCCCACCCCTGGGCCAGGCAGGCTACTGTCCATCTGCTACAGAGCCCAGCACCACCCTTTGTCTGGGCACTCACCTGAGGCTGTCCTAGGGGCTGCAGTGGGGCCCCAGGGGCATGTGTGGGTCCTGCAGCCTTACCAGCCTCTGCCTTGTTTTCCTCTCAGCTCAAGCACAGTGAAGCCAGAGGCGAAGCAGCTGCTTGAGCTCTAATGACATGTACAACACTCATTCTATAAACAGGAGATTTTTATAAAGACTGATACCAAACACAGGGTGAGGGCAGTGACAGTTGGGGGAGGTGGCGGGGGTGTCCCTGCAAGGGGTGAGGCCGCAGGCCAGAGAAATCAGGCTGTTTACCTATAAAAATCAACCTCGGCAGGGTTTATTTCCCTGTGCCTTGGACATGGTGCTCTTCATTAGATTAAAGGGTGGGAGGAGGAGAGGAACGTGTTTGTCATTGAATTAGGCAGTGGGAAGAGGCCCGGCAGCAGGCAGAATCGACTTTGGAGACCAATTTGTGGTGCTCAATTCCCTTGATAAAGTGGGTTTTCCTGTGAGGCACCGTGCCCTGGGGTGCCCAGTTGGGGTGGGGGGCACTGCCTGGGGTGCCCGTCTGTTCCAGGGGGGTAATGGCTGGGGTGGCAGTGCCTGGTTCGTTGGCTCAGGGGCGAGGAACTCCTCTGGCCCTGATCGTTGCCCTGGGCTGAGCCTCACAGGCAGGGACTGGCACTGTCGCCGTGTGGTCTCTGGAGGAGTCTGCACTGAGGGTGGTGAGGCAGGGGCATGGGCTGCCCGGAGAGACGGTGGATGCCCCATCCCTGGAAACAGCACCAGGCTGGACAGGGCTCTGAGCAACCTGCTCTGCTGCAGGTGTTTGTGCTCACCGTGGGTGCCGGACCAGAGGACCTTTAAAGGTCCTCTCGTGCCCAGGTTGTACCCTGAGGGGGGGAAGCCCCTTGGTGCTGTCAGGGTGGACATAGGTGACACTGCTGTGGGCACTGCCAGGCCATGGCAGGGAGGGGTCCTGTTCCAGAAGTGATGAGAAAGGACACTGTCACAGTCCTGTGGGAGCTGGGTCCTTGGGCTGGGACTGGACCCACTCCTAGGGGGATCCTGGGAGCGGGGCTGCCTCCCAACCCAGCAGTCATGAGGGGTCTGTGGATACTGGGAAGCTGCTGGCCAAGTCATACGGTTCTGTGGGAGGTGGTGGGTGACCAGGGCACAGGGCTGCAGGCTCAGCCTGCAGAGGCAGTGCCTGGCTGTGGGGCACAACTGGCTGGTGCAGGTGCTGTGGGATGTGCCCTGGCTCAGGCAGACATTGGGTGCTTGCACCAGGCTCCCAGCCACCAGCAGACACTGTCCCTGCTCAGGGCTGATGGGCACCGGGCACCGTGGGACACGGGGCAGTATGTCATGGGACATGGGGCTGTCCCTCAGCACCAGGGGACACAGGACACCCCATAGGCTGGGGCTGGCTTGGGGTCATTAGAGGGTCCCATCATTGTGTAGCACATGTGGAACCACCCTTCCTGGGCAGGGTCTGGAGGTCCCCCTGTCCCCAGTGTTGTGGGATGAGCCTGGTCCCAGTAGGGCACTGGGGGTGGACAGCAGGGTGTTGCCACAGCAACGCTGGAGCAACAGGCGCAGGGCCCGGCACTGCGCCATGGCCATATTTACCTTCCCAGAAACCGCTTCGTGCTCCAGCAATTTGCCTCAATTAGGCTCGTTACCACATCAGGAGGCCGCAGTGACTGCAGTGGCCATTGGGGCCAGTGGCTCCACGGGGGCTGCTCTGGCCACTCTGGCACAATGTCTCTGAGCAGGGTGGTCACTGTCCCCCTCTCCATCGCTGTCCCCATCCCTGTACCTGGTGGCCCAGGCAGACCCCAGCTCCTGTGTTGCCCTCACCCTGCTCACTTCTCTACGGCCCCTGTGTCCTCACTGCCCCACAGTGCTACTGCCGCCCTCCAGCCCCACAGCCCAGCCCCTCTGCCACCATCCCTGCTGTGCACATTCCCACTGCCAGTGCTGCAGCGGCCCCCAGGCGCCGGGTCCCGTTCAGCTGGGACAGACAGTGAGTTGTCGAGTAAACAGAGGAAAATTACTGCGTCCTGGGCTGGGTGCTGCCGCTGGAGCCAAGTGCTGCGTGGCCCGGGCCACGGCTGCCCTCCTCATGTCCCACCAGCCCCAATGACGCCTTGCTGTGGACTGGGACCCCCGCCACTCCCCGCAGACAGTGTGGCTCCTGCTGTTCCTCGTGCTGGCTGGCGTGGGCGGCACTGCCGTGGCCATAGGGTATGGGTGATGCTGAGACAGGGTGGGACTTAGCGAGAGGGCAGCCGCCCACCCAGAGCTGCTGTTTACTGTGTGAGGCTGCTGAGGCTGCCACGGCACAACTCCAACTCTCACCCGCCACTCAGCATATCCCCTGCACCGGGGCTGCGTGTGGGGCCTGGAACCACAACACACTCGGGGCCAGGTGAAGCAGTGTCATGGGTGATGGCCAGTGCCCGTGCCCAGGGCCGTGGGCAGTGAGGGTCACAGAAAGGTCACGCAGTTGTCCATCCCACTGCCACCCTCAGGCACAGTGACCCAATCAAGGGAGCAGCACCTGCCTAATCCCCACACACCAGGCGATTGTGGTGCCCAAAGCTGTGGCATCCGGGCTTAGTGCTCATATGCACGGCACAAGCCTCTTAGGGCACCACTGTGCCCCTTCCCTGCCCTGGCCAACCCAGCCCACTGGCACAAGGGTCCCTCAGCCCCACACTCCGCTGCTGCTCAGGGCACTCAGTGCTGCCGGTGGCTGCTGCCCGGCCGTGGGCTGGGCTGGCTCGAAGGAGAGGGGGGGGTGCCGTGGGCAGAGCCAAATGATTTAATTAAGGGCTCCTGGCAGCGAGAGGACAGAGCCGATTAGCGGCCAGAGGAGAGCGCGTGCTGGGGGAGCTGGAGCCTCGGCCGGCAGCACTGAAGTGGCTGCTGCTGCGTCTGCCCTGCTCATCTGTGCAGGGTCGTGGGGCAGGCAGTGGGGCTGGAGGGCAAGCAGCGGGGCATGCAGTGGGTCTGTCTTCTGGTGCAGCTCATCCCTGCCACGTGGCCCAGCTCCCATGGCTGTGTCCTCACCCGTGGATGCTAGTGGGAGCATGGCTGCAATGTGTCTGATGTCCCTGGAGTCCCCACACCCCACACCCCACACCCCACAGAGAGGCACACGCGGAGCTGGCCCTGCAGCCCGGCACGGGCCCACACCTATTTACAGACAGGACAGATAAATTACAGCACTGTGCACAGGGACTCAAAGGCGCACGAGGGCAGCACCACAGGACAAACTCCCACCCCCAGCCCTCCCAGCCCCACAGATCCCACCCCAGAGGTCCAGGTCCCACTCGCCTTCCTCATTGTGTCCATTGTCCATGCGCTCAGCGCAGCACCCGCACTAAGGCGGCAGGTCCCAGTGCCTGCCAGCGCCCGGGGAGGACAGGGCAGGGGATGGCGGCACTCCAGTGGCTCAGCACGGCCCTCCAGCCTGGCCGTGGGCTCAGAAGTGGCTCTCGGCTGTGGTCTCAGGAAACTCGTAGCAGTGGTGGCGATCTCCCAGGGCGAGGTGCTCAGCGGTGCTGTGCCCGCTTCTCTCGGGGCGGTGGGAGCCGGGGTGGGGGGCTGGGCTGTGCCCCAGCCCGTTGGTGCAGCCGCTCACCAGCTGGTGCTTCTCGTAGGCACTGCCAGCGCCATTACGGGCGCTGGGTGCGTGGCTGTAGGTGTGCCTGTACTCCTCAGCCAGGTCCCTCCCCAGCTTCCAGCGCTGCCACCGCTTCAACAGCTCTGCCTGCACCTGCGGGTAGAGGCCATCAGCGTAACCCAGCGCCCCTGCTGCCCCTGCTCCCGCTGTCCCACTCACCTCCTTGTTGACAAAGCAGTAGAGAATGGCCACCAGCATCCCCTGGGTGGAGGGAGAAGAGGTGTGAGGCACACAGCCAGACCCCAATCTGGTTCCTACCGAGAGCAAGAGTCCCCACAGGGGGCTGGTCCTGCAAGGGCTGGGCTCACCTGGAAGGAGCTCAGGAAGAGGTCGAAGAAGAGCTTGACATAGCGCAGCGTGCCTTGGGCGTGCTCGTCCGTGACAAAGGCGAAGACCACCTCGTGGATGCCCAGCAGCGGGATCAGCGTCAGCGTGGACTTGGCCAGCCTGCGGGACAGAGGTCACGGGGTGGACGCACACGCGTGTGTGCTGTGGGCATGCGGGGCGGGCCGTGCCCAGCACCCACCTGAACTTGTAGTCAGTGTAGCGCATCTGGTGCGCGCGGAGCTTGGAGACGAGGATCTGGATGATGCGGATGAAGATGAAGAAGTTGATCTGCAACGGAATGGAGTGGGCCATGAGGGGTAGGGGCAGGGGCAGGCAGGACAGCTCTGCCCCTCTGCCCTGGGCAGCCCCTCTCACATCTGTCTCAGGGCTTGCAAAAGAGATGCTGAGATGCCAAGCGAGAGGCTGCAGTGGGCTCACCAGGATAGCCAGGAACACGGGGAAGCGAAGGATCCACCAGAAGCCCATGTTGTTGTTAGTGGACCAGCACCTACAGAGGGGAGGGATGGGGACTACCAGTAAACCCCTTGACCAAGTGGCTGCTGGAGTCTGCCTGCTGGGCAGGCACCCTGCCCTTGGCATGGGCAGTGGTGTGGAGCCTCTCCGGGGCCATCACAACATCCCCACAGTCCCACACACATCCACTGTGCCCTGTGTCCCCTCAGCCAGTAGCAGGTGCTGATACTCACTGGATGTTTTCGTAGAGGAACTTCACAACGACCCACGGGATGAGGAACAGCACAGGTGCCCCTGAGGGGAGGTGGGCAGGTGGCAGGTGAGGCATGGCAGGGGACAGGGTCAGGGGGGCCAGGCCACACAAACTCACCCCAGCCAATGCACAGGTAGAGGGTGAAGTAGCTCCTTTCAGAGAAGACAGCCACCACGAGCAGATTGTGCAGGTAGATGCCCTCCACCAGCAGCCAGCAGTAGTTGGCCACAATGCCGTACTGCATGAAAACTGTGGCTGCCCTGCAGCCTGCGGCTGCCTGTGGACAAAGGTCAGGGCTGCATAACTGCCTGTGCATGTGCCTGTGCCCCCAGCCTCACCAGTGCCACGAGTCCCCAGCCCCACCAGCACCACCGGCCCCCACCCCTGCCCTACCGGTACTGACCTCGTCACTCAGCCAAACTTGCACACTGTAGCCGTCGATCTTGTCGCTGTAGTGGGTCTTGAGCAGGGCGTCAATGACCAGCACGGAGACACCCTTCAGGATGAAGGAGGCGAAGAGGTTCATGTGGATGTAGTTCCTCATGCAGTGCAGCTTGCTGTGGATGCAAGGACTGCTGTCAGTGCCCATGCACAGACCCCCAGTCTCCACCTGCACATGCTGCAGGTAGCCGTGCCCACATCCCCACCTGAAGCCCAGCAGCAGGGCCAGGGCGAGCAGCAGCGCGCACAGGGACATGGAGTAACCCACGGTGTACATCATCTTGAAGCTGCCATAGGTCTTTGCAAATTTTTCCTAGAAGAGGAGGGAGGCAAGTAAGGGCAAGGGCAGGCAGGGGGGCAGGCAGGGATGCCTGCACCCCTGCTGCCCAGCTCTGCCCACCTGCGCATTTATCTCCTCATCATCCTGCTGGCACTGTGTGGCATCGCGTAGGGACTGTCCCCGTGGCCCCGTCACCCACTGCCCGTCTGGCCCGCAGGTCTTGAAGACGTGTCTGTGCTTCACTGTGAGGGCAGGGGGTGGTGGGGTGTGCTGGCCCCAGATCCCCCACGAGCACCGTGCACCAGCACATCCATGAGCACCTGCAGCAGCACGTGCACACACGTCTGTGCACACACCTGTGCACACGGGAGCACGTGCCTGCCAGCTCTTACCTTTGTGGTACCAGGGCAGGAACCAGGGGCAGGGCACACTGGCCGTGCTGTTGGGCGCGGTGTCAGGCCAGCACGAGAACTTGTCGAAGGTGCGGTTACAGACCAGCTCTGCACAAGGACAGGAGACGGCGGCACCTTGGCCTCAGCCTCCCTGGGTGCCAGGATCCCCCATAGCCCCCTGCTCTGTCCCTGTCCTGCTAGAACCCTCTGCTGCCTCTTCTGCTCCATCCCCATCTAAGAGGGACGCCCTGTCAGTCTCTGTCCCCATCCCACCAGAACCTTCCTGGCCCCCGTAGGCACTGACCTGTGGGCGCAGGCAGGAGACTCATGTTGTGCTGGCACTCCTCTCTGTACTCCGTCCATTTCTCAAAGAGAATATCTGTGATCTGAGCAGAGGGACCCTGGGGGCACCAGGAAGTGTCACCTGTCACCCGCATCCTGCCCACAGGACCTGCCTTGCTGTGACAGGCAGCGACCCCAGCTTTGGGACAGCTACACATGAGTGCAGGCTAACAATTTGTGCCATGCCACATCACGTCATGTGGATGGCAGGGCAGGCAGGAAAGGGCATCAGCTGCAGTACACGCCATGGCGAGGGGCTGCAGTGGGCAGGGATGGATCAGTGGTGGCCCGGGGTGGGCAGCGAGCTGGGCACGGAGCAGAGCGCTGCTGTGTGGGACAACCCATCCTTACCTGGCAGCAGAGCAGCAGCAGCGGGAGGGTGAGGAGACGTGGCTGGGACATCCCTCCTCTGGGCCACGCGCATGGGGTGCAGTGCGGGGTGCCTGGCTTCCTACCAGCCCTCAGCAGCTTCTCCACCCTGGTGGTGATGGCCCTGGCACGTGGGTGATCCTGTGTGAGACACCTGGTCACAGGGACTCTCAGGGTAGAGCTGGGGGACATGGGTCTGGGGGCATGCAGGGTGGGAGGAGGCCACACTGGCACAGAGCTGGCCCAGCCACGGCCCTATGCCTCTTCCCAGTCCTCGCCTGACCCTGTCTGGCATTCACATTCAGCTGCTTGTTCCTGCATTTTCCCGCCAAGTACCTGTTTTTTCCCTCCCCAGGATGGCACTGGGACTGTGACTATGTTGACTCTCTGTTCATCAAGCCAACCCCAACCCCTGTGCAGTCAAAGTGCAGCCACATGCAGGACATCACAACCTCTGAGCAGGGCAGACCCTCATGCCCCTTGGCGGCACTGCCTCCCGACCCCCAGGGGTGACCTGGGCTGGTGCCACCCCACACTGGAGCTGGTGCCACCCCACACTGGAGCTGGTGCCACCCCACACTAGAGTTGGTGCCCAGCTGTACATCGGTGCTAAGCTCTTAGAGTGCAGGACACCTGTGGCAGAAGGACCCCTCCTCACACCTGAGCATGCTCTCAGGTGGGGGCCAGCACCTGGGATCCCCCCTTCCCATTGACTCTCGTGCTGCAAGGCGGCCCTCAGGGCACTCAGCCATGGCCTTGCAGCAGCACCTGTCTGGGATGGAGGTGGGCAGGGAGCCACCAACAGCACGGGCCAGGTGGGGATGGGGACAAAGGTTGGCTGTTAACCCACAGGGACCCTGGCTTGTGGGGCTGCCTTTGCTCTGAGACCAGCTCAGCTGGGCTGTGCCACTCTGCCTTCATCACCCCCAGCTCCTGCCAGCGATGTAGGGCCTTGTCTGACACAGCGCCCAAGTGCTCTGCCCAGACCCCGGCTCACGAGGTGCTGTAATTCCCTCCATCCCCCTAAGCCGGTTATGGGGCTCCTGAGCGTTATTTCAGCTCTTCCCACAAGGGGCCATTCTGGCAGCATCCCCACGGCACGGCACGGCTTTGTGGTGGGAGGGCAGCTGAGCTGTGGGGGACGGAAGAGACAGCAGTGCTGGTGCCACCACAGACAATCCGGCATTGCCCGTGGCCCCTGTGCTCCCCCTGGGCACCAGCCAGAGCATCACGCTCCCCGACCAGCCCTGCTCCCAGGGCTCGCCGCTCTGCCTGTGCCTATTTTTATCCCTGGGAAAGTCGTGTTTCCTCCATCAGGGCAGACCCACTCGCCATGTCGCAAGTGGTTGCTGGAGCAGCTCATTAATCAGCACATGGAGCTCCAGATGAGGCTTGGGGAGCAGAACCTGCAATGGCCTTATTTAGCCAGTCCCAGGACAGAGGGAACTGTCTCCTGGGACAGTCCTCACTGGGTGGCCTCTGGGAACAGTGACCTTTGGTGGGTGCCCACTGGGCACCTGACCATGTCAGCATCCCTGTCCTTGTGTCATCCCCCTCAGCCCCTACCCACCAATCCTGTCCCCACACCAGCATCCCTGTCCCAGTCCTCCTCCCATCCCCACCCTGGAATCTCTGTCCCTTTTCCCCGTGCCAGCATCCCTGTCCTTGTCCCACCCTCAGCCCCACAACATCAAGCCCACCTACCCCATCCCACCACTGCTCACGTGCCGACCCCATGGGACGGTCCTGGTGCCCGTCCTTGGCCGAGCATCCATCCCTGCCCTGGTTTGGAACGCTTCTCCAGGCGCGTGGGTTACAGCAACTTGCTGCCAGCCCCTCTGTGTGGCGGGGGAGCAGCTTTGGGGCAGAGGTGTCGCTATTTTTAGCTGCTGCAGTGGGATTTAGCAGCAGGGAGGCCTCTGCCCTGGACTCCCCCAGCTGGCAGCCACTCCCCAGCCCCCAGCCCTGCTACGGCCAAGCCGGGCAGACTGCACTGGGTGAGGGGTCCTGGCACGAGGGCCGGTCACGCTCCTCTCTGTGGCACGGGGCTCCCCCCTCACCCTGCCCAGGCCCTTTGCCCCAGCTGCCCACAGCACTGTGCAGCCACAGCACTGTGCTGGATCCCCACTCCCCATAGGGTGGGGAGCCCCCACAGCTCCACTGCCTTGTGGGGAGCACAGACAGGGGCTCTTTCCAGCAGAGACATAGGTGTGCATGGACTAGCTGTCCCTGGTGCTGTGTGGTGTGGCAGGGAGGGAGCAGTGGCTCTATGTGGTAGAACAGCAGGGTGTACAGAGGCCAGGAGCACTGGCAGCACCTCCTGGGAACTGGTACTGCCCAGCAGCAGAATGCACAGTGCTCGGAGCAGTGGCTCTGCCAACTGCACATGCCATTGCTGCCACTGCCAGAGGTTCCTCTCAGTGACCTCCTGGGTGCCAGAGGTAGCACCACAGGAGTGACCTGGCCCCACATCACCCACCACTTTCCCTCATCCTGCCATGCCCAGCTGGCTCTCAGCACCACATTCCCTGCCTTGGTACCGTGTTCCCAGCCAGGGCCAGGCTTTGGGGAACCCCCACCACAGTGGGCCATGGGTACTGGGTGGAGGGTACATGCCATGGGAGTGGGTGCCTCTGAGGGGCTGAAGTGCATGACAGTGTGTGTGCAAGGGACTTCCACCCCACACTGGTGTTGGACAATGTGGCGTGTTCCCGTGTCACAGCTCTGTGGCTGCTGACCCCCGTAGAGCCTGGGCTGCAAACACCCAGCACAGCTCCACCGCTGCAGCCACAGAGGAGAGATCTGGTGCTTGCAATGGCAGAGCAGGAACAAGGAGCCAACACCGGGAAGGCTGAGCGCAGGCAGGGGAGGGGCTGTGCTGGCAGCCCCAGTGCTGGGGGCCAGAGGGGTCAAACATAGGCATCATCATCTGCCCTCAGGGTAGGGGGAGTGGGGCTGTCAGTGGTGTCTGTGTTTGTGCACTGAGCCCTTCCCCTGTCAGTGGTGCCAACCTCTGCAGTTGCAGGGACAAAGCAAAGACCCCCTTTCCATTTAACTGGTCTCCCTGTGATCCCTGGCTGACCTGTGGCTCATGGTGGCCACCATTGGCCCTGGGGTGCTCAAGAGGCAGGGGCCAGGGCATGCAGCCTGGGCAGGTTAAGGGGCGAGTGGAGGACCTAGGTGCACTACTGCCATGACATTGCACTAAGACAGGGAGCGGATGGGAAAAGGGGATTTTGCTCCCTGCTGGTGGATGTAAAGCCCCCGTGCTGCCCTGCAGAAGCTCTGTATCACCATGGACCCCTACAGCAAGTTGAGTGCCCAGACCTGCCTGGGGAGAGACTCTCTTCTCATCCCACCCTGTCAGCTTCCCCTGGGATTTTGCCCCCCAGTCCCTCCAGCACTGCTGCTATGGCACGTGTGAGGGAACGAGCTCCACATCTGGGATCATTGTCACATGGATCAGCGGCTCGGTGAACCCCCGTGGGACACTCATGGGCATTTGCAACGTGACCCGGGAGCACCTTGGCACAGCCACGGCCCTGCACAAGCGCTGTGAGGCTGGCACAGCCCCACAGAGCCTGGTCCCCCCCAGTGGAATGCCTCCTCACGAGCGCAGCCCCGCACCCGGCACAGCCCCGCTGGCTCGGAGGCAGCGGTGGAGGGGGGTTGTGTGCCCTCTGAACACAGGGATTAGCCCCCCATGCGCTAATGCAGTGCTTTCCACGGCTGGCTTGGCTTTGAGCTTGGGAGCTACACGCCAGCACGGCAGGGGCTTTGGCACTTGGCAGGGGAGGGGACGGTGCTGGGCCAGAGCTGATGCAATGCCAGCACAGCCTGGTCCTGCAGATGCTGCTCCACTTTCCACCCAAGACCATGGCAAGCAGGGTAAGGGTGGGGGGAGACAGCCAGGCCGGGGAGGCCCAGGAGGTCTGGTCTGCACTGTCCCTACCTGTGTCCCTGCCCCAAGCTAGGGGATGTCTCCCACTCCTCTGCTACAGTCCTTCTCTGAGAACTGAGCACCAGGAACTTTGGCTGCAGAGGAGCAGTTGAGCTGCCCAGAGCAGCCCTTGTGCTGCAAGAGCATGGCTTGTTTGCACAGAGCTACATGATTGTGGAAGCCCTGAGCAGCGGCACATGGAGAGAGCCAATGTCACCAGGCACCAGCGATGTCGGATTCTGTGTCATCTTGGACCAAGAAAACCCAAACCAGCCCTGACAGTATTTTCATCAACAGCAGTACAGGATGCAAACAGGACAGATACTCTTTGCATCACCTCCACAACCCCCCGGCTGCCTCTAGGCATGGTCAGGGGCTCCTGCACAGCTACCCATTACCAAAGAGGGCCTGTGGTCTTCAGGCACAGAAGGGCAGTGGCCAAATGACCTTGCTGCCCAGCTGGCTCTGGCAAGTGGATGCTGAGCCACACAACAGTTTGTCCCTGGCTCAGGGAAAGGGGTGGTTTTGTTCATCACGTTGCACGAAAACCCACGAAACACAAAAGAAAAGCATGAGAGGCATGGTGTGACACGTGTGCTTAGCGTGTCACAGGGGAGGCACAGGGCTGGGAAAAGCCTAGGAAAAGGTCAGTGCAGACAGGGAGAGGCACACGTTCCCCTGCACTGGGAGCTCCACATCCACCTTCCCAGACCAGTTTGTGGCATGAATGGACATTGTAGCTGCTGTGGACCTGGGGACAACTTCCCAGCACCTCTCCAAAGAGTGAGCTCAAACCCTGCACTGTTGAAGTGCAGATGCACAAGACACATCGCAGCCCATCTGGAAAGGTGTCCCAGCAGAGTCTGTCCCTGTCCTGAGACATCTGCAACCCTGGGTGCAGTCGGTCACCAGCCCCAGTGAGCCAGGGGTGTGGTGAGGGGCACATGTGCCCAGCCATCCGCTGGTGCCTGTTGTGCACAGCCGTGTGCCCCAGGCCCCAGGGGCCATGGGGGAAGCAGGACAGAGCAGGATGCAGTGGAGGAGCACAGGGGGATGGAGCTGAGCTGCCATCCCATCTCCCCTGTGTCTGGCTTCCCCTGTCCCTGCCCCTGCCTGGCACAGCGAGGTGCACGGAGAGGCTGTGCCCGGTGGCTGGGATCAGCGCTGTGCTGTGGATCAAGGCTTGCGGTCACATTTTTTCATTAACTATTTTTAATCCACATTTTGCCTATTCTCTGTTCAGCCTTTTATCTTCTCCCCTCTCCAGGCAACAGAACACAAAAAAAATCTGCACCACAGTGTGCGGAAAGAAGCGGGATTGGTGGGAAGCACAGTAGCTGGCAGCCGGGGCAGCACTAACACGCCGAGGAGGGGTCCTGCGGGCCCTAAATTTTCCTGCTGATGCACAGACAAAATCATAGGAGCAATCACTGAATTTGGCGTGGGTCAGGACACACGGTGCAGGCGCTGCATGGGGCATGGTCTGCGCTGCGGGGTGCACGGCAAGGGTTGGGCAGAGCGGATGCTCTGTCCTCTGCCTGTCCAGCACGAGGGGAGCCAGGCTGAGCCCCGCAGTCTCTGTTCCCCTCACTGCCCCGAGGGAAGAGCAGCGCCGGGCAGATGGGACCCGCAGAAGCTTTGGAGATGCACTTGCAACCAGGAGGACGGCAAGGTCACATACCCGACATGTCCTGGTTAAACAAAGCCATTTACCAACACCGTGTTGACACAGCAGAGCTCGGGACAGAGTCACAAAGGGCACTCACACCGGGCCCCTGCAACACCCAGAGAGCTTGGGGAGAGCTGGAAAGGGTCAAAAGTGTCCCCTGCTTCTGCCTCTCGACGAGAGACCCACGGGCACTCTTGTGCCCGCGGCGGTGAGACCCCGTGGGTCCCACCATGGCAAGGGGCTGCTCTGGGAGATACTCCCTGCGCGTCGGAGCCTGGCTGGTATGGTTGACCGGGGGCTCACCGCAGTCAGGGCAGCGTCCAGGGGTGCCGTGAGCCCGACAGCAGCGCCTCTGCACAGGGACGCCAGCAGCAGCGGCTCGGGCGGGGAGCAGGCGCAGCCCTGCTGAGACCCCCGGTCCAGGACACCCCTCGCCGAGGGACTCTTCCCCCCCGGGGCCGGCGCCTAGCACCGGGGCAGCTCTGGGACCTGCTGCTCTGGTCTTCCGAGGCTCAATTCGTGGCCCCGGGGATGCGCAGCCGTCACCCGAGTCCACATCCACGCGACGGGGCGTGCGGCATCCCAAACCCCCGAACCCGCAGGGATGGGCGCTCCCCGCCCTCCTCCCCCCTTTCCCGTACCTCTCGGGGCTGGGCTCGCGGCGGCTCCCGGACGCATCTCGGAGCCGGCGAGGACCGAGACCGGCGCGCTCGGTTGCTCCGGCGAAAACTTTTGCCGGAGCCTCGGCGGTGGCGGCTGTGGCGGCTCGGGGGGAGGGACCGGGGCGGGGGGAGGGACCGGGGGCGCGGAGTCGCGTCCCAGCGCCCCGCTCCTCCTGCTGGCACAAGGGGGGCGCAGCCCGGTGCCCCCGCCCCGCCCGAGTGCTCGGCGCTGCCCGTCGCATCACCGACGGCCGCTCCCGGGAGCTGCGGGGACGCCGCCGCTTGTCGCCGCCACCAGTCCCCCGCCGGCTACTCCGCCCAGCCCCGCTCCCGGGCACCGGCTCGGCTCGGCGTCGGATACGGGCGCAGTGGTGGGGGCAGCTGGACCGTTCCGACCCTGGGGGAGTGGGCCGGGGATCCGTCCCCCGGGACCTTTCCCCAGTCCCAGCGCGCCCCCGGTCCTGCGGTGCCCCGAGCTGGTGGCCCCGGCGCGGGATCGCGGGCTGCTCGGCCCCTTGGGGACCTGGACGGATCTCGGCCGTGCCGCCGGGGAGCCGCCTGGACACCCGCGCTCCGGCCGCCGCCGGCGGTGACGGGTCGCTCGCCGCCGCTGTCCCGCTGCAGGTAAACAGAGCCCAGGCAGAGCAACGCCCCGGGACCTCCTGGCTAGGTCTGGGGAGGGGCCCGGGGGAGGCCCCGGACCGGGGGTGCCAGCGGTCTACCCTGCCCCGGCCCCCCGGCACAAACACATTTACCTTGGGCCATGCAGGACGCGGTGGCCATGCCAGCTGTGGCACCACAGGTACACGGAGTGTGTCCCCCCGTAGCCCACCCAGCCCAAACCCAGCTCCCTGGAGTCCCCAGAGCTGCCTCTGCCGGGGTCCTGCTTTGTGAGACTTCCATTGGCAGGAAGGCCTCGTTGGTGTGAGCAGAGCAGCCCGAGCCCATGCTGGGTCCTGCAGGTGCTTTGACAGTGCCAGGGGGTCAGACCCATGGCTGCCCCCCTGGAGATGGCCCTGGCACCCATCCAGGCCAGGAGGGGACTGTGGGGGAGAGGACCAGCAGCCCCCATCCCTGCCTAAGGTCAGGGCAAAGAAGTGCCCTGGGGAAACCCCTGCAGGCAGCTGCCCAGGCCCTGGTACAGGGCAGGGTGGGACCAGGGGGTGGCCAGTTCTGACACGGTGGCCACAGGCTGCTGCCAGCCCTGCGCTCTTCGATGCTCAAGACATAAGCAGTGCCAGTGCTCAGAGATAAGCAGTGCCAGCGCGCTGCAGCTGTGGGCACTGTGCTTCAGGCTGTGTCTGGCACACACTGTCCTGCCAGTGTGGCTGCAGCACAGCTCGGTTGCCACAAGTATTGTGGGGACAGGGCATACATGTGCTGGGAGCACGGGGCAGGTGCAGCTGGTGGGACCGCAACCCAGCAGGAACATCCCTGCCATTGGCTGGCATGGGCCTGAGAAGGACTCTGTGCTGCTGGGGGACCACGGGGGCTCTATTGTTCCCCTGCTCCACATTGGCCCCTTTGTGGCACAGAGCAGGGCCTGCCGGCCGTGGGAGCAGTGCTGGGCTGGCCGGGGTATGAGACACCATAACCTGTCCTGCAGCCCCCAGCCCCTCACCAGGAGAGAGCCCAGCTGCCCCTGTGCTCACCTGCCCACGGCCTCTGTTGGGACGGGGCACAGGCCCAGAGTGGTAATGCCAGCCAGCATCATTAGGCCTTGTTAAGGTGACGAGCTTTCACTGCTCTGCTGTGCCAGGCTGCCTCTGTTCCGCCTGCCAGAGCCCAATTAGTGTCACATCCAGGAGGCAGCTCTGGTGGAGGCGATGGGCGCCCTTGGCGTGGCCCTGCCCCAGAGCTGTTGCACAGATGAGACCGGGCACAACTTGGCCCAAGACTGGCCAGAGACCCTGCCCACAGCTCCCCTTGCACAGGTCTGGGGGTGCTGGGCAGAGCAAGGTGAAGATCCCCTGTTTGGCACGGAGCCAGGGGCCATGCCTTGTTCCCCTCCCTCCATTGTGGGAGGCTGAGCTCACAGCCCAAGCTCTCAGAAGCAGAAAGGGGGTGCAGCATCCCCCTCTGCAAAAGCAGGACAGCAGGCCCTGTGCACGTTCACCTTTATTATACATTAAGGTCACGGATATTCCAGTTCTTTGATCCCTCAGGGCCAGCACACACAGCGCATGGCAGAGGGGCTGGTGCCCACAGCCCCTGCACACAGGGTGGTGCAGGGCCAGGGGGCTGTGAGGGGCAGGGGGTTGCTCAGCCCCGGGGCAAGTGAGGCCACCGAGCAGCTTGGAGGGACGCTCCCACAGAGGCTGGGTCTGACGAGGGCACACTGTGGGTGAGCGAGTACTGGGTCTCCGAGCAGGCATTGCTGGGCCCTGCCAGAGCCGGAGCTGGCTGGGGCGCATTCCCCGCCGCCCTCATTGGTATGAGGCACAATCCCTGAAGAGCCCAGCGGCCAGCGGCGCTGGGGAGTTTTGGCCAAGCAGAAGGAGGGTGTGGGAGGCCAGGAGCAGGGCAGGGGGGCCAGGCTGAGCTGGTGTTGGTGGAGAGCATGGGGGCCAGAGGCACTGAGGGAGGACAGGGCCTCACACCCACTGCCCTGAGCCCAAGCACCACAGCCACAGGGGCACAAGCCTCCTCAGCCCCATGGGTTCTGCGACGAGGTACAGAGCCAGGCAGCCAATCCCACTCCTCCCCCGGACAGCACAGTCCTGTTCCTGGTGCACATGAGGGACAGGGCTGAGGGGGGCAAGGACAGAACTCAAGGCTAGAAGTAGGGCAATAGGAAGACAGCAAGAAAAACCCGCAAGAAACCCAAAACCAGTAGTGCAGAGGTAATGGAGATACTGAGAATGGGGGTGAGAGGAGAGGGGAGTCTGGGGGGTTGGCCACAGGTGCTGGCAAGGCACAGGAATGGGGCCAAAAGGAGGGAGAATGGTGCTGGCCCCAGAGAGCAGAGAGAGGTTCTGGGATCTTGAGGGTGACCCACATGCTCACCCCCCTGGGGTGAGGCAGGGTCCCATCCGTCTGACTCAGGTGGTCACTTTGATCCCAAAATATTTGCGCAGCTGTTCCAGGAAGAGAAAGGTGAGAACAGTTTGAGGAACGAGCCGGACAGCAGCAGGAACAAAGCCCTGGAAGGGGACAGCAAAGAAAGGGGAGAGTCAGTGCGTGCCTGGCCCTGGTGCTCCCAGCAGCAGCATGAGTGGGCAGGCACAGGGCAGTGCTGGCTGGGCATGAAACACAGGCTGCAGAGCAGGGACTGCTGCACCGTGGTCACCGCAGGGCACACAGGTCTCAGCATCACATGCCAACCCCTCTGTTCTACACATGGGTGCTGGCACCTGCCCTCCCATTTGGGAGCCTGATGGGTGCAACAGGGCCATGGCTGCAGTGCCTGAGCCCAGGGTGAGTCCCGGCGAGGCCAGGCCTTGTGTTACCCTGGGGCCAAGCCTGGGCCAGGTGGATGAGGGCCTGGCGCAGGAAGCAGCCAAGCCACCACAGCAGAGCCTGGAAGGCCCCTGTCCCAGGACTGTTCTGGACGGCAACCTCTCCTCCTAGCCTGGTCCAGCCTGCCCCACCCCACACATCCCCAGCTACATACCTTGTAGAAGGCGAGGGGTCCGAGCTTGGCAGTTTCCATGGCACAGTGGACAACACCCTGGGGAGAGAGGGTGAGAGACAAGGTGGGAGGGGCTGGGAGGCAGAGGCCCTGTGCGTAGAGAGGGGAGGATGGGCAGCAGTGAGATGGGCAGGGTGGGTGACTCACCTGGTACTCCCCATGGGAGTTCATGAGGCGGGTCTTGAGCACATCCAGGGGCTGGCACAGGAACGTGGCACACCCGCCCTGCAGAGAGTCAGTGAGGAATCAGGAGACCCCGGTGCCACTGACTGCTGCAGTCATTGAAGAGACCCAGAGCCATGCCTGGGCCCAACCCCAGGCCAAGAGCCTCTCAGAGCCACTGTGCCCAGCCCTGCTCAGTCCAAGCCCAGAGTGGTGGCTCTGACAGCAGCCTGGCTGCAGGCAAACCAAGCCCCAACCCTGCCCCCCCAGCCCTGCTCACGGCAATGAAGCTGGACAGGAAATGAGTGACAACGTTGTCTGACAGCAACCCAGTGGCGAGAACCAGTTGTTTGGCCTGATCATAACAGGAGAGCTGCAAAGATACTGTGAATCAGTGATATGTTCCCCTTCCTCATCACACCAGGCACCTACTGCCCAGAAGAGCTGTCCTACCTGCCCAATGGTAACAAGGGCCCCACGGAAGGATGCCACAGTAGCTCCTGAGAAGAGTTTCTTCAGGCCCTCTGTGGACAGACAGATGGGGATCAGCATAGTCCTGGGCCATCACTCACACCCTATTCCACCTGGAGGCTTCTTCCCTGCCCAGGCTATGTCCCAAACTCCTTGCACAGCCCTCCTTAAAACACACCACAGCAAATAGGCTGCAGGATAGGGGAATCCTTCAAAATGGCCCAACCTCCTCCCTGCCTCTGTTCATCCCCTGTCCCACCTGCTCCATCCTCCTGCTCCTTTTCATTGCACCTCCTGGCAGGTTTCGATTTCCCACTGAGCACAGGCAGGCTGCCAGGCCCTACCAGACCCGGCCTGGCCCCTGCCCCTGCCAGACAGTGTGGTGGTGCCAGGCCCTGCATGCCCCTGGGCTCCCCAGCCCCAAGGGCATCCCCCCGGCCCCTCTCCCTGCCCTGACTGAGCGAACTCCCCAGGTCAGCCTTGCTCTGGCTCCCCGGTGCCTGTGAGGACACCGGAGCGGGCTCACCCACCCGGCTGGCACGGCCTCACCTTCCCGGAGGACACGGTACATGCCGTCCAGGGCATGGGAATAGCTGGAAGGAGCGAGAGGGGAAGGGGTCAGGACTCGAGGCTCCCCAGCACGGCGGCAGCCTCGCCGCTCTCCGCGGGCACCGGTGGCTCCCGGAGCGGCGCCCCGGCCCAGACCCCGCCGCCCCCGGTGCCGGTGCCTGATGCGGTGCTGCCACCCCGCGGCCACGGGGACCCCCGGCCCCGGGAGCGCCGGTCCCTGCCGACCACCTCCCTGCTGTCCGAGCCCTCACGGCCCCACAACAACCCAACCCTCTGC